CTGTTGTTGATACCAACGCAGGTTCAATTTATTTTAAAGTCACATTTTGTGCATTGTTAGATTCTCATTCTGTGGATAACAGAAATGTGCAAGATGATACATTCTGTCTATCTAGTAAAATATTTGAAAAAAAAAAATATTCCCTACTATTTTTGATATGTTAGTACAGTATATTGCTTGTGGTTCTGTTACTCTGTACATAACTGAAAAGGCAGCATATATTCTGAATCATTAGGATTCTAGCCAGGTCTAACTTCTCTGTCAGTTAAATGGCAGATAGGGGTTGAGATGTGCCCATACTAGTTTTCTGAGGATAGAAATAAAGATGAGGGCTGCCAACTAGTTAATGTCATCAGATGTAACTCTATAAACCCTACCACAGGGCTGACATATTAAAGGGGTATGAGTAGCACATAAATTCTTAGTAAACAGATAATGTCTTTGAAAAATTAAGAAATGGCTGTCTCCTCTAAGAAAAAACTGTTAGCCTGTCCTAATTTTCTTTGAGGGTAGGTTGCAGGCTGAAAATGAGATCTGTAGCTAGTTTCTTTAGTTTATTCCCTACCTTCTTTAAGTAGCGTATTATGGACTTGCGTATTTTAGACAATTGAAGGACAGCATGTATTTTGTAGACTGTCAGTAAAAAAAAACTTTCCTTGTGATGGAAACATATACCAAGAACTCTTTCTTGTTAATGAAAACTTCTTTTGTCACAAGAAATACAAGCAAGTTTCTGAATTACTTTGAGGAAAAAACCAACTCTTCCATTATATGCATATATTAAATTGTTCTTTTACCAATACCATGATCACCTCTGCAAAGATTGGAAATCCAGATGTTTACTTATACTTCCATCATGTAGATATGTTAAGGATTACAGTACAGGGTGCACAGTTTTCACAAGGATGTTTCTTGAATGATGTGTGACAGAGACCCAGGAGGAGCTGATGGACCTGCTAGCCTGTGGGATGGGAGGTGGTCTTAATCTTTGTAGACTGTCTTCTTCCTTTGAATCCCATTCACAGTGGATGCCAGATGGGACTTAACAGTAGTTGAATAATAAACTAAGTAATAGCTAAGGGAACTTCTGTTTGTTTGACAGAAGACCATTCAGAACTACATTGAGTCGTTAATTCTTGGTGGCTTGATGTGGTGGGTTGACCCAAGCCAGAAATTAAGCACCCACAGCCACTTGCTCACTCCACGCTCCACAGTGGGATGGGAGACAGAATTGGAAGAGTAACACGGAGTAAAAACTCATCAGCCAAGATGAAGACAGTTTAATAAATGAAGGCAAAAATCGGAGAAAAGGAAAAAACCATAAACCCCACCACCAAGTCCCCCAAGCAGACCAATGCCCAGCCAGTCTCTGAGCAACAGCTACCTTGGAAGGACTACCCTCAGTTTTATTGCTGAGGATGATGCTATATGGTATGGTATTTCTTCAGGTGGGGTCAGCTGTCCCAGCTGTTTCCCCTCCCAATCTCCAGCCTACTTGCTGGGGAGGGCTGGCAGCATGAGAAGCAGAGAAGGCCTTGGTGCTGTGCAAGCACTGCTCAGCAATTGCTAAAACATCTGTGTGTTATCAGCACTGTTTTAGTCACAGATCTAAAACTCAGTGTCATACAGGCTGCTGTGAAGAAAACTACTTTCATCCCAGCCAGACCCAGTACACCTGGGATTACAGGAGTCAGACTGGTTTATAAATATGTCGATGGAATTGAAGTATAACATTTTGATTCCATTTGTATGTCTGTCTTTTCTCTCCTGCATTGCTTGATTGTTTATGTACATCATTGTTGTACAACCTTTGCATGGCTTAGTAGTAGTAAAAGCTTTTGCCCTAAACTTGCACCCCTTATTTAAGCACTCTGCTCAATGAGTTCTCTTCTTTCAATTACTACTTATACTGATTGAGCCCACATCTGAATCAGCAGCTGTTGAAGAGAATAGAGTTATAGCTCTTTGAAGTGTGACTTTTGACACCAGAGAGAGTAACTTGTTGACACGATACTGATGCTAGTTGTACCACTAATGCGAGACACTTATGGTAAATCTCCATATTTTGAATTCTAGAGCCACTGTAAAATTTAGAGGTCTTGGGATTCCAGTGCGTTGATCTGTAAATTACTGTGTAGTCCTACCAATCCAGAGCTCCAGCAAAAGCACTCCATAAATACTGATGTCCTAAAAGAAAGTAGATCCATATTTTTCTAAGAGGCAGGTTAAGTTCTTGAAGTATTGTTTATGTCAATTTTTCATTACCTGTGGTAACCAGCCGTGTTCCGACAAAGTAATGTGATCATATGGTGGTGTTAACTATGGTTGTTACAGCTTCTGCTAATGTGCTTTGGCTCCTGTGTTAGATTTTTTTTTTCTGCTTCTTATGATTAACATGTAAAGAGTATACCAGGCTATTTATGAGACAGGTGAAATTTTCCATCACAGAACTGAGCTAGATATAGCATACACTCAGATGTGCATGGTAAACAAAGCTGGAACAAACACAGTTGTATTTGCTAGAGCAGACATATTTCACAGAGTTGCTTGCTTGGAAATACATTAACAGCTAATTGGTGCTAAATTTCATTTTATTCCATGTGCAAAACCAGATTGCTCCATTAGAGAATTTAGATTGACTTCACAGTCCTTATTAATTGTTCTCATGTTATTTTATATAATGATATATAATAATGACAACCAGAACATAAGCGTGTTGTTAAGGCTAAGGATTTCAACATGAAAAAAATCAAGAATTACAGAGTTAAAGTTGAATATTTACCCAACCTTGACTGCAGTAATTTTCACATATAGTCACTGAAATCGCCTCTCATTACATCATAGAATATTCTTTCTCGGGTATCATAAGTAATAGAGTAACATTATTTCATGTAAATTATTTAGTATAGCGTACAGTTGACAGAGTGAAGCACCTGAAAGTCACACAATGAAAGGGTTGTTTTTTAGCGTAAATGTAATCTGTGCACCATACACATATAGGGCTAAATTTTTAAAGGGGTCTCATTTTTCCCTCTGATTTTATATCCTCAGTCTATTTGATGCACGTATGATAGGATTAAGATATCTGAATTTTTGCCTCCAGTCACTAATTGATATATCTTAATCCTTTCATATCAGTCCTTAAAATAAGAGGCCATCTTTAAAAATTTCACCTAAAGTGCTCAATTTTGCCTTCAGATGCCTCCAGGCAACTTCCATTGAAGTAATTGGAGCTGTGCCTGCATATCTGATGGTGGAACTGGACTCATTGCAATTAAGGTACACATTTACCGACATAATTAGTCATCTGGAATAATCGCTGGGCCCAGTGTGATGTTCTGCGTGTGCAGAATTTCCTAGATTTGACCTTCTGCGTGTGGGAGATTGAAGATTACGATAATTTTATTTCGTGCTTTGAATTTGTAGCGGTAGCAGAATTATAATGTAACCTACTGTATTTAATTTTCCTATTTTTAAAGAAGAAATGTGGAAGGAGGACATGAAAACAACCTATTTTTCACAATGATGTCTTTGGATATTTTTTCATTTTTGTGCTTGCAAAGCACACAGACAAAAAAATAGATGTGTAAAGAATCCAACAGCACAAAACCCACATACTAATTTTTGGTACCTCTTAATTCGCAATACAGATATTTAAGCAACATGATAGAGTACTTATTTTCCATTAATTTAAAATTCTCTGTGTTTTGTGATTGAAAATCAACTCTGTGCAGCTTCTAAATTAGTGTCTCTCTTGTGTCACTGGTCTGAGGAGGGGCTGTTTACAAAAATCTTGACTTTTAAAACTAATCATTTTGGAGAGAGTCCTATAAAACCATGGTTGACCCAAAAGCAGAAGATGATTTTCGTGGAAGTTTTCCCAAATAAAAAACACCAATCTTGAATTTGTAATCACAAAAAGTTCCAGCTAAAAGACGTTGTTTTTTTGGGATGTTAGAACCTATAAAAAAAGCGATGAACATAGTGAGTACTCCTGTGATTTAGAATAGTTATTGATGAATATTTGGGTCTAGTTCTGGAAGTGTTACAAAGTGCCAGTTTTCAAGGTTTTGGTTTTATTGGTATTCCTTTACCATTTTAGTGCTATCAAGTTTAAAAATGGCAGAATGCATAGTTCTCTCTCAAAATTATCCACCACCACAAAAGTTATATTAAGGAAGATTTAGCCCGGGGGCTTTCACACCATGCTTTCCGTTAGTGCAAGGTCATGTTCCTGTGGCAAGCACAACCAATATTAATTGCCATAACTTGTTCAAATTGGTGAAGATGCTCTTTATAGCACCACAACTTCTTGAAGGTTTAAGATTAGATTTCTTTTTTTAAACCAACATTGGTGCAGGGAAATTGAAAACACAAGAACAAATAATTTATTTGAAATTGAAGTGAACATTAGAGAGCAAAGTAGTGCTTTTAGAAGGACTTCTTGTAAAAAAAAAAATTACTGGAAAATTACTGTATTTTTTTACTATGGTTGAATGCAGAAATTATTCCTCAAATAATCTGTAGCTATGATAAACACTTATGTTTTAGAATAGTAGGAGTTAATCACTTCAAAATTAAATTTTCATAGCTGTTTAAAGCATAAATTCTTACAATGCTACTGTAATATTTTCTACATTTAAGCAAATGCATGGTTAGATGATCACAGATTTGTCCCCTGCATCCAGAGTACTTAACAGGTTTATAATTCAGCCTATCACCTAAATTCTTTCACTCTTTTCACATCTGTTGCACCAGCTTGATTATGTATAGGAAATTGGAGTGTCTGTCCATATTCAGGTAAAGACTCTCGCAATGGAAGTGGTTGATTTCTTGACATTGGTGTTCCTTTGTTCTGTGTTTACACACTACTTGTTCTATATGTTTGTACATTTCTTTGTTTTGTTGAGATGGAAATAAGTTAAAATTGTTGCAAAACCATTCATTTTTCCAAAAGGTTTTCACTATTTTTAATTGATTTTCATTGTGTGTTTTTGCAGCAAGCTTAGTAGTGGAGGAGCGAACGAGACAGATGAAAATGAAAGTGCACCGTTATAATCAGACATCAGTGTCTGGTTCTAGCCAAGAACATGAGCGTGAGCAATATACCAAGGTAAAGTCAGTAGTATTGAAATGATACTTTGGCTTGAAAATTGAAGGCATAAACCTGTTTATTTAAAATATTATATAACCCTCAAGAGCACTGTGTTATAAATCCTGACAGAAATGTCTTCGAGTAATGGCTTTTTAACATTGTTTATACCCCCATCTGATGTGCATTAGACTTAATCTTTGTCACCTAAAATGAATCTGCAAAGAGCAGGACACTTCGAAACTGAATCAGGGAAGGAAGATCCTTCAACAGCAGTTAAACAAAGCTGTGGCACCTCTAGCTTAGGAGTTCCCTGCCCTGTAAATCTCTGGAGGCTGGAAAAATGGACCACTGAAGTATTGTTGTATGTTGGCCCTACTCTTTTATTCTTTTCCTGGCCCTTGCTGGTGTCTGATGTGTAGAGAGCTAGACAGAATTAGTTCCAAGGCCATACAGCTGTACTCATGTTTTTATAATATTTTTACTTCCTAATAATCTCACAGATTAAATATTTCCTTTCTGGAAATACATACTTATTACTTTGATCTCCTTTTCTAATAAAAATGTAAAGATTTCCTCTGATAATTAAGTGAATATGAAATTACATTAATGAAGTTATTTGGAGAGATCATACTTTTTTAACTTTATAACTCAGAAATGATGTCCCACAACCCTGTAAATTTTCAAACTGTGTAGGCTTTTGAGCAAACTGCTGAAAACATCTCACAGGTCTGCACTGCCACTTGCAAATCAAGATGTGAAGGGCTGGAACTAAACTTTTTCCTTGCAACGCCTGAGAAGCATATTTGCTGAAGTCAGGAGAGGAAATGTTTAGTTAGATTCTGTGTTTCTCTTTCAGAGATACAGCACTGTGTTGATGTAGGGCAAGCAAAGGGCAGAGACAAAACCAGCAGTAAGTTAGTTGTATAGGAAGTATTCCTGCAATTTTCTTCATCCAGTGCCGTTGAGAGTTACGTGCTTTCAACGAGTGACCACGGGATGGCGGTATGAATGTAAAAGTCCACTGTAAAAAAATTCTAAGACACATATAGCAACAGAGCGCGTTAAAAATAAGGCCTTGGAATAACAGTAATTGGAAGAAAATCACAGATTTTATCAATTCAGACTTTTGTGCTTCAAGAGCCACATTTCAAAGACTTGCTTCACATCAGCAAGAAGTAAATACTTGTATTTTTACTTCTACGCTTTAAAAGAGACAAACTTTCCATTTGTGAACTGATGCCATACAGAAGACAATAAATGTTGTCAAGCTCTCAACATCTGTGGACATGAGAACGCTTCTGGCACTTATCACTGTAGCACAGGCACCAGATTTCTGTCCTTGCCCCTCCAGGGTCACTTTCCTGTTTGTCACATAATTGATGCACACTCCTGGAAGCACAGGTTAAAACAGCAGAGCAGTGAAGTACTTGGCAGAAACAAAACCAGAAATTTGGTTAGGAATGGGTAAATAGGCAACTGGGCATCAAACTTGTGATATCTAACAGATTTGAAAGATTTGTTCAAGATCTTGTTACAGTTAAATATGGAGACAACCTTAATAAGGATGTTTCTTTTTTGAGACCACCTCACTGTGAACGTAGAACTTAAATGAAACTGTTCTCAAACCAAAGAGAAATAAGAGAAACAAGGCTTTAGGTTCTCAATTGCCAAACTATGGGATATCAGTGCTATTAAAAAAAAACCTCTCAACAATTAGGATGGAAATTTCCAATGAGACCATCTGTCAGAAGCCGGAATGTGTGTAATAATTGGAACAGCTCATTTGATACTGGGTTTGCCATTACCTTCACAAGGGGCCAACTCAGGACAAGATGTTGAGATGCAGTGTGTGTCTGTGGTCCTTTCCAACTGCTTAACATGTTAAGAAAATAGTAAAAATGTGTTTGATAAAGTTTGCAGAAGAGAAGGGGAATGTGTGATTTGAGGGCTTTGGCCAGGATGACCAAACATACGCCTTTGTCCCCAGAGGCTAGTTTTCTGATTTTGATTGACTGTGCTTACAAATTGATTCAAATGTTTGTATTTTTTTCATTATGAAACATATTTTTAATCCTGACTCTCTTAATGTTTATCATAAGCATTATTTTTGTTCCTCAGTATATTTTTCTTACTGGGTTAATGTGGATCCAATGTATGGTGGTTGGAAAACATCAACCTGCGATGTTATGAGTTTCTCTTGTCCTCCAGTACCCAGAGTTTTCTAGTATTGTCTTTAGTTTCTGATATATATGGAACTGAAATCAAAATTGAAATCACAGCATGCTGAGTAATAGATGGAAAGAACTCTGTTGAAAATTGTTTTATTCGGATTTTTTTTTTTTTTTAAAGTATGACCACAACTTTGAGGAAGCAAATTGTCTGTCTGCTGTTATAAGAAAAAAATTTTTGGAGTACACAGTGTTCTGACAGACATGTACTCCTTTCTATGCTAAAATGGTAGTAAGGAGAATGAATTAGTTGTCCTGGACTTTAGATACAAAAATATTTAACTTTTCATATATTTTCTGCATGATAATGATGCAGTCCTAGATAGGATGGTCCAACCTAGATCAAATATAAAAAACCAGCAAATCCAACAAACCCTCTGTGGATTTGGCAAAACGATTTAAAGAGCTTTAAGCATTTGCCTTCTTTCTTGTATATTGGTAAGACTGTAGTGGCTAGTATGCACGTTAGTGCTCTTTCACTGTTTGAGAGAATCAACATTGGATTTGGGGGTTGGGCTAGATGACCTCTAAAGGTCCCTTCCAACCCAAAGCATTCTATGATTCTATGAAGAAGCATTGGTAGCGTAATTCTGGATTTGCATTGATATAAATGACAATTGATCTTAATTCAAAATACAGTAAGTTTTTATTCCAGATGCCACACACAGAACACAAGCACCATGCTGCAGCTGTTCTGGCTTTCCAGAGACTGTGCAACACATTTTTTTTGGAAGATCTGTTTATTCAAGAGAGTTACTAATCTGAGCACTGTAGTACATACTTAAAAGGACATCACTCTATATTTAGATGCAATACTGCCTCCATTAACACTGTATGTGACTGGAAAGCATTTAGCATAGAAGTGTAATCATGGCAGTAGTTCGTTGGCATTCTGTGGATTTAATTTGTTAATTAATGTCTACAAGGAAAGGCTGGATAGAGACTTGGGATGATACAGGGCTGATTGTGCTAAGTTTTATGAGATGCTGGGCAAGGAACTTAGGGTTAGGTATAGAAAATGCTTTTGGACATTGATGTGGTGAGTTTCTCCTTTTGATCCCCCTGCATGAAAAAAATATTTACTGTATATCATATTCATACAACAGTCACTCCAGTGGTGGCAGGATTTCACAAAATTCAGTGAGGTCCACGTTCATTCAGCTCATGGGTTTCACTGCAGTTTTCCCATGGTTTGACTCTTGAATTTTTACTGTTTCCTGTTAGGAAGTTGAGTGGTGTTCACAGTAGTTGATTTGGATACAATTATGGGAAGAGTTACTTAGAATCCCTGGTGCTTACTGGGCTCTGGACCATCACGTTGCTCCCAAGACCTAGACCCAGATGCTGGTAGGAGTTGGAGATGGGGCCTGGATGCACAAAGGTGCTGTCTGGCAGGCCGTGAGCCCCAGCAGCATTTGGAGGAACCATGTGTTAGCAGTCATAAAATTCAAGGTGCTTTGTGCATGATTCAGCGTTTCCTGACAAAATTCCATGTTAGATAGAGTAAGGTGCCTCAAAAGATAGCTGTGATCTCAAGACTTGCATAAGCCCTTGAAAGAATCTAGCCTTTAATGTTTCTGGTCTGGATTTCTCTTTCTTCATTTTATTTTCCTCATTTAAATTCCTATTTATTTTTCTCATTTAATTTCGTCTTTTTTAAGGACTTAGAGGCACATATTTTCAGAGGTTAGTCACCTGAGGGTTTTGTGTAGTTGAAGGAAGGGGCACTTCTTCAGTTTTCAAAGCTCTGAACTATTGTATTCTCCATGGTTTTTGGAGATAAATCTAGACATATAAGTATTTATTAATGTGGAAGATAATATAATTATAGCAGACTATTAAATGACTTCTAAAATGTGCCTTATATTCAGTGAAATTGCTGATATAGTCTTTGGGGACCTGTAAAAGTATTCATGAATTACACTGTTCTGGTTTATGTCTATGCTCTTTCCATTAACATTAACACATCTGCGGTTCATCATACCCCTTTTTTCTCCTTTTGCTGGTGTAGAAGAAGCAGCAGCTCCACAGGTGGTAAAGTGAATGGAAGAAATGCATTTCAGCTGTTTATATTTCAGATAGCTATATTGAAAAAACTTCTGTCTTTGTAGTGCAGAAGCAGACAGTGCAGATAGTTTGGACATTTGAAGCTAGCTGCTATTAATGTTTAAAAAATGAGACCTACTCTAGCAGTTGCTATCAGAGTTGCTGCAAACTTCAGCAACTCTCCTAATGTGATAAATAGTACACCTTGAATTAGAAATGTTGCATAAGCTTTAACTCTGTAAGACGTAGAGTTGAAATGAAAGTGATTGCACCAAAACTTCACTTTATTTTGAGGCCTCAAAACTATATAATATTTAAATATAACATGACAGGGAAATTTGTACTGAAAAGTTGTAGGCAGGGAGTAAGTAGGAAAAGTTGTGTGCCTCCTGTAGAGGACAGTTGAATTCACAGTAGGAGCAGCAGCTATAGAAATGAAGAGCTAAATCCGGAAGAAGTAGTAAATGTGAATGCTGCAGCACTCAGCATTAACTTTCAGCATCACCACTTTCTGTGCTAATCTATTTCTGTGAAGGGAAGTGTTTTCAGTTTCTTGGGAATAACAGGTCTGGCATACAGTATAAAGGGGTAGTAAAAGCTCAGCTATGCCGTGAAAATCTCATTTAGGAAGGGAAGCTCAATGTTTTATGCAATAGCTCTGTGTTTGGAATACCGAGGCAAGTGGAAAGCATGGATTCAGTTTTCTTCCTTCTCTCCTGTCTCACCAGAAAATTCTCTGTTTGCCAACATATGAAAGACTAGCTGTTAAGCCAGCCTGATATTTACAAAGCAATTCCATTTTGTACAAACTGATGGAATACATGGAGCAAGACAGAGTGAGGACATCTACATAGCCCCCACTTATGGGGGATCATACCTGGGCTGAAGACCCTGCGGCAATAAATGGTTTCATATTGATACCAAACAGTCATTCGATGAGGCTGAGTCCCTAAACAGTCACTGATACACAAGCTGGGACTTCTAACTTCTCTCCCAGTATCCTAACCTGTGAGCTGAACAACCATGCTTGATGCTTTCTCTCTCTCTTCTCTCCATCTTTCCCAGCCCATATAGGTAGCCCATGAAAGGTGGAGCAAATTCAGTATGAGTGAAGGAAAGGATCTTCTGATGCCTCACATGGCGTATACAGTCACGGTGTTCAACTTTGTTGTTCTGTGGTTGAATAACTAATTGAGTGCTAAACAAACAGCCAGATTCGGGTGTGGCTTGAGACAAAGGCCAGCAGCCTTTACCTCCCTCAACACTTAGAAGAAGAAGAAAGGCTTCCAGCAGGAGGAAGGAAGTCGCTGCATCTGGCCTTGATGGTTCCCTCAATGAGAGAGCTCAGATTGTGTCAGCCTCTTCTAGCAGCCTGTCACGCTTGCTCAGGGACCACGTGAATCTTCTACTGTTTCAAATTCGCTGTATGCACTCTCAAACCAAGGGCCACAAAGAGGATGTGGACTTTTTGGTGAGGAAGAAAAGTAACTAGACATCATAGTGACAGAGAGGGGGAAGCCAGATTGTCTTCAGCAAACACAAATAAAACATGGAGATATTTCTGAAACACTGTGTTACCATGCATAAAAACCCATGTATTTGAGAGAGATTGCGTGATGGAGGAATCATTTCTAGATATAATTTAAATATATAGGAAGGATAAAATCCCTATTTCACTGAAATCAGCACAAATTTTATTATTTAATGGCTTCATGATTTCTTTTGCAGATTGTAATTCTATTTAGCTCAATGGAAACCCAAGAAATTCCATGTGTTCACATGCTTTTCATATTTTTAGATGTCTCATTTAGGAAAGCTTAAAGGATTCGTTAGGAATTCTGTGGGAATTTTGCATAAAATGTCAAGGCTGGGTCAGGAATGGGACAGTTTAACTTCAACAGGAAAAAATTAGCCATTCAGTTTTCCAGCTTCTCAATATTTATGTTTAGCCTGAGTAAAAAGTATTCATAGTTTTTATTCTTCCTTTGAAATTTTTTTAGACTTTAGAAGAAAAACATGTCATCTAAATAAATGTAAATGTTCCGTTATTATGAAATGGAGCTGATAAGAATTAGTGTGCTCTGTATTTCTGTTTTGGAGAGGTTCATTTTGCAGTCTGAAAGAGGGCAAGCAGCAAAATTATTTAACAGACTGTACAACCCATTTCCAAAAAGTAATCTGAATAAACATATCGGCATAGTCTCACCTTAACCCAATTGGTCATTTATTGTCAGATAGGTTGCACCAAGTCCCTTGGAAAGAGAATCTCCAAATAAATCCTTGCTGTAGCTGAAAATATTTTTAAATATTGGAGTTCTTGAGTGCTCTGTGTTGCCTACTTTATTAAATCAGAGTTCTGCCGCATCTGTTTCAATGTCAATGCCTGTTTAGACATGTTTTTTGAGATCAGATTCATCATGCTCCAAGCTATTATGAAATCATCTGCAGAGTGTCATTTAGTATTTGAAGCTGATAATTTATCTTTAGTACACCAGAGCTTTATCTCCTGCAGGTACTTTTACACAGTCAGCTGATGCACACCCCTCACAGGGTATTCCTGGAAGTTTCCTCAATGCACACTCCTCAGGTCAAACCTCCGGGTTTTTATTTATAAATTGGTTTGTTTTTAATCTTGGCATATGCCACCTAGGAGCTATGAGTAACCCTGACACACACGCTGAGACACTACATTTTATAACCTCTATTTATAACCTCCGTTTCTCCTATAGATTTCTGTATTTACAGTAAGTGCTTAGTATACTCTTTATTCCCTCCGCTTCTCTACTCCAATTCTCTACTTCCTCATCTTACCTTAGATGTTTTCCCAAGAGGTTTCCAAGTGTGCTGTGGAGACCTCAAACATAGTTGCTGAAAGGCACTGGAACAAGAGAAGATAATCCTGGCTTGAGGACAGGAGGCCTGGTACATTTGTCTGTACAAACCTGAGCTTGTGTTTGCCAGGCTTTAAAAGTTAAGTCATGACATTTGCCGACTGACTCAGCCTGCAACCCAGCGCCTAGTTGAGCTGAGGATACTCACAGACTGTCACAGCTTTGTGTATAATTCATAAATAAGCTTTTACGACTTGCAATTTTACAGAGCACAGATCTGGAACATGAACTCCCTCGAGTGTCATGTCAAAAACTGGCTAGTCTTCCCACGTGTTCATAGTTTTCCCATAGCATGCCCTGGGAAGTGTAGCGCTGGTTTAGTCACTTCCCAGCTAAGGTTACCTTGCTCTCTAATGATGGTGGGTTTTAGTTTTAGGAACCTGACAATGATTTGGTCTTCATATCTGTGTAACTGAAGGTTTAGGTAAGTGTAATGTAAATGCAAGGACTGAAGCTTGCTTTTATGTATGTCTGACTGCTGTTATGAGTAATATGAGCATTATGCAATAGATGGTGTGGTGTTGCGGATGGTTTTAACTAATCAAAGCTGCTGTTGTTAGCAAAAGTGTAATAACTTCTAGCTCTGTCCACATATTCTTCATGCTGGGTTTTCTGCTAGTTCTCGCACATGTGCACATGTAAAAGCAACTAGATCAGGGAAGTGATCTGCCTGAAAACAAATACCGCTTTTTTGCCGAGTTAGCTTTCTGCCTGACTAGTCCTCTAGTATCACAATACAGAGAGATATATTGAGATAGAAAATGTACTTTTTTTGCTTTTGTGATAGAAGTTAGGTATTGAAATCCATCCCCAATGTGAGGTTCACGTAGCATTACATTTCTTTCAGACACAGTTTTTCCATTCCAGACTAACTCTGTGCAAGTATTTCATACCATATTTTTTAAGATTTGAAAAACTGAGAAAAGTTCTGTAGCCATATGGATGGTATGCACGTTCTTGAGAAGGTGTCGGTCCAGCATGTAAAAATTTCCTTATTATAGTTCCAGTGTACTAAAGAAACAGCAGCCTATTTCAATTCCAATGCTGTAATTTATTTGAAGAGGCTTATTTAGTCCAGAAATACTATGTCTGATTTCTTCACTAGACATAAACACATTGTTTAGCATAGGCGTTTCTCTGAATTCCATACAATTTTGTTCGATTTAAAAGCAGTTAGAATATATGCATTATGTTTTGATAAGACTCCTCACCCTTTCTTTTCTTGATCTCTAGTATAATATACAAACAGATCAGTACAGAAGTTGTGATAACGTCTCTGCCAAATCATCAGATAGTGATGTCAGTGATGTGTCAGCCATTTCCCGAACCAGCAGTGCCTCACGCCTCAGCAGCACAAGTTTTATGTCAGAGCAATCTGAACGCCCTTGGGGCAGAATCAGGTGAGTTCTCAGTGCAGCTTCAATTATATCACACCCTCTCTTTTGTTTAGTGCCAGAGTACAACCAGAAATTCTTGAAATCAGATGACCACAACATAGGATTGAATGAAAAATGTCTGTGCACATATAAACTGTCTTCCATTGTTAGCCTAAGATGATGATATTTTTGCAGTTGTGCATCTAAGAAATCAAACTTCCCATGAGGAGATGACAGATTAATGGGGAACTTGAACATACACTATCATCTCATTGCTCTCTATGAATCAATGTAACCTGTATGCCAATAAGGTATTACAGCACAAAAATTACTAGATTTTTTATCTAAAGAATTTTCTTTCATAAAAGCTCTGGTTTTCTTTCTTTCAAGCTGTGTATTTATTTCCCTACCTACCTGCTTTTATTTCGCTTTTTCATGCATATGACAAATCACTAGCTTTGAAACAAGTATTTGTATAGTAATTTTGATATCTCTTGTTCAAAAAAATAGTTTAATTCACTTCATCAATAATATAATATTACATATAATATATATATAATACAATATATATCAATAGTATGATAATGTATCAATATCTGTTTCATCCTTGATAATATTCTCAGTTTAGTGCTTTTCTTAGATACACAGATTGGTTCTTGTCTTCATTTAACTTGATGACAAAACTCCCACCAGCTATAATGGCTGTAGGATTGGCTTGGTAGTCTGTGTATGAACTCTTAAAAAATTGACTTTAGATGTCATAAGACATGAGAAGAGTTAGGAGCTATGAATAAAAAAATTAATATGGAGGAAATCAGTCGGATAAAAGTCTGCATGGCATCATTTAGTACTTCAGAACATTTCTAGACAGACTGACTATCCGAGAAGTTCAGCTGCAGGCTTTTTGGTGTGTTCGTGCAATGGGAAGGGATGTTAGGGAAATTCAGAAACGGTCCTCTATGGATGAACTAACTCCACCTCATTGTTTTGGCTAAGGAAAGTTTCCAAGGGTATTCCAAGTCATGTTTCAGATTGGTGAAATTATAAACTGACGGCTGCAGTAATCCACAATCCAGCAGAACACTGCGTGGAACTGTAAATGGATTTCAGGTTATCCAAGTGTTCAAAGTTATTTCAATTTATGTGCTTAAATGCTGTGTTCCATTATGTCCTAGCTTTTCAGTGCTTGTATCTCAGAGGGGTTTAGCCGTACCAAAATACCTGTATTTTCTAGACATTGAAATTTCTCAATTAGGCCCTGTCACAGTATCTTTGGCAGATTGAACAAAATAGGATTTTTTTTCTCATAGATCTCTCTGTGTTGAACAGATTTTATTAGAAATGTTCCTTAGGTTCGGAACGTCTGATCACAAAGATCAGAACTAGGAGAACCAATAACCTCATGTGAGGCTGGAAAAGGGGAAACCTAGGGTCAAATCCTTGCTCTAGTTCAACCTCTTCCATTCTAATGAGTAGCAGACCACCCTTGGTACAGGAGTAGCTGACGTAGTGTACAAAACCAAGTGTCCGCAGTGGGAGCTCCACTCAGCTTCACTCTAGACCCCTAAAGTGAGATGTAAGTAGAATTTCAGATACCTTCCCTTTCTCATACTGTCTACAGAATCCATACGTCAGAGATTAGACATTTCGTACTTGCTATAATTTTCTCTAAATTCAGATAGTAATTTCATAGTGAACAAAATGTATATTAATAATATACTGTGCAGTTCATTCAGTATGAGGAAGAAATTAGCAGATCGATAAATTCCTCATAACTTTCAATATTTTTCTTCTAAGCTGGCAGTGGTTTTGCTCCCCTGAAGTACCTGTTACGGTAGGTGGGAGATGCCTAATGTACTATCTTTGCAAGTAGCCTATTTCAACCAGTAAGTGCAGTGGAGTGAAATTCAAAATAATTTTGATGTTATGGTGGAAAACATTGTATCCAGCAGATTGTTGTACACTGTCCAAAACTTTCCATTGGAGTTGTCCACACTTACTTTTGGTTGATAGCCTATCATCGCTATAAAAAGATCAAATTCTTTAAAGATCTGCAAAATGTTGTACCATGGGAGTTAGATATCAAGAGAAGTCAGAATGAAAGGAAGCGGGGTGTTGAAGAAAAGAAGGCATTTTGCTGATGATCTGAGCCAAAGCCATCTTTCCACCCTCCTGTGTCTGTAGTGGTAGCCTCTGTCACATAGTGAATTCTTTGTGTGGTTTACTTATTACATGGAAATGAAGAGTTAATTTGGGGAAAGGGTTGGTTGTGTTATCAACAATTTTTTCAGAGTGAGATTCATGCTGTTTAGCCTTGAAAAATACATATCTACAGTGGAATTCACGTAAAAATTAGCTTTTTGTTAAATTGTTTGTTTAACTTCCATAAGTCATCATTAAAAAGAAAACACATATTTTTGGTGGTTCACCTCATCTTCAGATAGATGTCAGACAGGTGAATTGTCCTTTTCTACCATTAATTATTGAAGGAACCCTAGTGGACTAGTTTAGATTGATTGCTTTAATTTTAGACATCTAAAATTAAGTGAAGTGGATTCTTTCTCTTAATTACTAATGTTTCTTTAATTCAAGGAATCAGAAATTTGAAGTTCAAGATTGATTAGTAATTTGAAGTTGAAATTTTATTTTTGCCTTTCTAGGAATCTTATGTTAACATATATCAAGTGGGAGGGGATGGGAGGGTTGAGCAGGAGGGGCAAAGAAAAGAGCATTTTTTAACTTCCTGTCTTCTGTTTTACTGAAACCACATATCTACCGTCATCTTCATTTGGAAGTGTGTCAGCCCAGTGGCCGTGGCAAGTGTGTGAGCGTAATGTTAAGTTTAAAGACAGGAAGTTCATGGAACTGCCTTTTTTTGTGCACCTACTTTTGTTCTCTAGATACCTTCTGGAGATGAGAGCTATGAAGAACCTGGTAAGCACAGAGAAACTCAAAGGAGATGGCTCAGTTTTAGCCATCTCACTAAACCTAGTCTTTAAACTAGTATCCTTAGATGCCTTTTGTATCCAGAAGAAAAACACACAAATTTGGAAAAAACAAGCAAGAACTGAGTTAATTAAATTGAATGGAGAAATGTTACTGGAGAGAATGCCAGGGTTCAGATTAGTAACCTGAAGGGAAACTGTGCTCCTCTATCATTTCTACATGAGCTAAAAAACACTACTTAGTTATTCATTTTAAGAGTTGTGGTGTCAAATTCTGAATGTGAAGTGTGCCAGCTTAAGCTAGCAGTAATTTTACTGAATGTTAGTCAATATAACCCATTATCCCTGATATTAATGCATCTGTGAAAAGGGATATAAATTAATCTCCTAGATATATGAAAATACAAGATACTGTTCTCTTTAGGACTGCCATTAAGAAAGGAAACTTTTGGTGTAATGTTGTACAAAATATCATTACTTTTAAATGTCAGAAGGACCGAGGTTTCAGGTCATAGTGAGTATAGTTTATATCCACTAACTTCACAATCAGTTCTGCCAGTACAAACAGCTTCCTGACCTTTCCTCCCAAATCCTAATGGAAGAATGATCCTTGAAAAAGCTAGCTAATGCCTTTTCCCTGTCAATCCAGGCAAAAATGATCAATCTCTCTCTTTTCTCTCAGTTTTGAAGGTTGGACATGCTGTCATTTCAGACAATGCATCCTATGTTATCCTGTGTTTGTAAATAGTTATTTCTTTATTCAAGCAGTAAAGATTTTAAAACCTGGAAGCACATCTCTCTATCTTGTGGCTCTAAAGTGTATGGGTATTAGCTATAAATGAGTAACAACTTGTGGGTTTTTTCAGCAATTTTTAATTTCAGTGAGTAACTCTTCTAGTTATATTCAAATTACATTGTGCTTTTCATAATGTGTAGCTTTTATAGAATAAATCTGATTAGCAAGGATAAAATCAGTTGGTACAGAACAACACAGAAGTACTCTACATCTTATTTGAACAGGTAGATAACACTCTAGCTGTTCGTTGAGTCAAACTCCTGAATTTTAAGTTTTGTAGTAACAGGAAACTTGAGCATGCTGAAGAAGTTAGTAACATAGGGAGAATGAAAGCAGATCTTCCCTTTCCTTTAATCAACGATAAGACCGTGTCTAAACCTTTTAGGGCAGAAGGCAAATTTGCTTGCTACAGTGTATTTGTAATTGAATTAACTATCAGAAAGCTGTGCATAGCACTCATGGAAAAAAACATTTAGCTTCAGCCTGGAGATTTTGTTGATTAAGACTTCTCGTAGGCTGCAAGAGAGAATTATGACTGATGCAAGTTCTAATTATAAGTATATAAAATAGCTTCTTCATTTCTAATTTGTTTAGCATTTTCAGGTGGATGTTATAACAAATGGCTATGCATGAATAAACTAGTCTGCACATGAAATTATTCCAGACACCTTTCATGTTGCTATCCTGAGAAGTCTGTTTGGCTGCCATGCTGTCTAGTGGAAGTGCAGACAAATATCAGGAATTTTTGTGCTGGGAACAAAATGTTCCCAGAACTTTGGGAACAAAGTGCTCTGGAACTTTTGACTTGAATTGGAATCAGGCTTGTGAATTTGGCTTGCCGTAGCATTTCGAGCTGGTATGTATTTCACATCTGAAGTCAGATTACCAGTCATTCTTTATGGAGATTTGCTTTTGTCAGTTGTTGTCTTTATGCATTCATAATACAGTCAAGCAAGACTTCGTGCCTGTGTATGCTACAGATGTTACTGTATACGGCTCGGGAACATTTCTCACATCCTAAACGAAGCAGAATGAAATTCTTCACAGCTTAATACAAATGATTGATAGGTAAGAATCCATGCTAAACACACAGTGATTAATCAGCACCATGTGGCCTTGATCAGACAAAGAAGGACATTTGCTCACTTCATTAAAAATTATGTTGAATGTTGTCATTGCATCGTTGTTCATTAGAGTCCTGTTTTTGCAAAGATACCAAAGATACCTGGACTTTAGGGAACTGTCATGCATGGTGCAGGTGAGCTGGAGGTTTCCATTCTGGG